GTTTTCTAATACTACCTCAAGAAAAGCAAAGATATTATTGTTCTCTCTAAGGCTTACAGTCCAAAGGAAAGTGACTTTAGGTAACTCAGTCAACCTTTATTTCTCAGTGAAAAGGACAATTTTCAGTATAATGTGATCTGCTCCTCCTTTCTACAATCAGTAGACTCCAGATCCAACTGGAAGATCAACATAGAGAGAACTGAAATCAGTTTTCTTGAAGTTTTTGAAGCTTTGAGCCAAACATCTCATGACCCAGACACTGAATTAGGAGGATGAATGAGTATAAAAGTGACAGGTTTTTTATGTATATCTGCCACAGAGTTTACTTATGTATAAACTGTGTAAACAGAATATACTCGAGAACCCTCAAGGAAACTAATTCTTGTGGTTAGGAACTCATATCCTACACAGGTTAAGATTTTCTGGATCCTTAATAGATCTCTTGCTATATATAATGTAATAGAAACATCTTTTAAAAATATAAATAAGGAAAAATGTATTTCCTCTAAGAAGCAAAGGTACTGAAACTATTACTGCTGTCCACAACTGAATGAAGAGAAGAGGGTGTGGAGAAGGTTGGGTGACAGGTAAGAGTGCACATGATCAAAGGAGAAGGTGGACCTACTAACATAGTCCAATAATGTCTTTTCGAAAAAGTTATAACTTGGCTATCTAAAAAGAGAACAGCAGATGAATGTTGATTTATACTAGGTGCTAATAGTCATCAAATTTTCAATACTATAAACTTTCAATAGAAAAGAGTTTAGGGACAATATCTGTCTAAGGACATTTAGTTCGCTTATTAAGTAAGTCCTCTTGGAGGTTCTTTTCAACTCTATTATTTCTAAAACCTACAGACTTCATCTACCCTGAACTCTTACAACCATTACTCTGCATTATTTGCTATTATTCAAACAGGAAATGTGAGAAAAACAAAATCTATCATATGGATTTTTTTCTCAATTTAAGTTCTATGCTTCCAATTAAGCATGGCCTAAGGAAAAATTTACTTCATTATTTTTATTTGAAGATTATTTTTAGTCAAGTGCAAGGTTCTATAAGCACACGATGCTTTATCTAAAATTACTGCCATGTTGAAAAATGACTGTCAAAGGTAGAATAATCTCAAGCACAAGGTTCTATAAGCACACGATGCTTTATCTAAAATTACTGTCATGTTGAAAAATGACTGTCAAAGGTAGAATAATCCAGTATGATAAAGAGTCTGTGCTCCTGAAGAGAAAATGGAATATTATATCATGCTAAATATTATTAAGTGATATGTCCAACACCCAAAGTTGTTAGACCAGCAAGCTCTCTCCAGATAACATTGTTTGTAAGCCTCATTCCAGCTATCTAGACCAGAAAAAGTTAGTGCCATATTTTAGTCACATTTATGAGATTAAGATCAGACTTTTATCCTTCTATCAATCTACTCTTGCTGGAGGTTGAGAGAAGTAGAAGTGATTATTAACATAAACTGTAATCAATATGAGCCATTAGAAACCATGCATCACCCAGAGCTGAATCTTACTAGCAGACTCAGAGAGCTTCCTTGTTCTATTAGTAAAATTAAGCAAAGACATTCCCTAAATGCCTTGTTGTAATGGCACGACAAACTAGTCTTTGATGGGTTGGCATTTCTACAGCTCCATTACCTTCCTCTTCTGGAAAGTTACAAAAAATTTTGTGCAAGAAACGGTCTCTTAAAATTAGGAGACTAAGAAAAGTGGATGGATCTGCCTACACTTCCTATCTTCTTCCTCCACTGACTCCTTTATCCTCAAAAGCCATTGAAACTGAAATGGCAGATCCATTAAGAGTAAGGCTTACGGCTATCAATCTTTTGCAAATTACTTAATCAGAAGATTCCAGAGTGCTTCCCCAGTAGAACATTTTCTCCCTGTCCACTCTAGTTTGACTGATCCTCTACCTGTTATAGACACAGCTAAAGTTATAGAAACAGATGAAATTTAGAATGTAATACAAGCCATGTCAACATATGAAAGAAATAAAGTGTCATGTAAAAAATAATGGAAGGAAAAAAATCATTGTGCCCCACTTAGTTTAGAAAGGGTATCCAGTCACATTTATTATGCTACAAAGCCTCAATCACTGTTCCCAAATTCCAAGTTTAAAGTAACTGAAACCTCAGTTTCTCAACTAGGAAACTTAAAACCAGAGGAAATAAAAACAAATTAATGATGTTGAACCCACAAAGCTGCAAAGCAATCTTGGTTACTTTTCACACTCATGATTGTTAAGATATTAGAAATACAATCTCCAGTGCCCCTCTCCTTATACCTGTCATGTTGCCACAAGAAAGCATTGAGACAATGATTAAAACTATAAACACACATCTGTAACATTTCTTTCTAAACTATTCAAGCACTTCAAAGCCTGAAGTCTGTCACTTCTTTTTATATGGAGAAATGTATACATACTAAATAGTGAAAAACTTAGGACCCTATCTAGTGCCACAAATGGAAGATGCAATACCCTCCTTTGGCTATAATGAGTTATTTGGTGAAACATTGAATGTAAAAAGGGATACTACATTTGAAATTATCTTTGTAGACAGAGAATTCTGACACTGGAAGACCATTCTAGAAGTCATGTTCTGACTGAATAGCATGACTTTGGTTTAAAGAAACCTAAAGGAATCAATAAAGAACAAATTTTAAATAGAATTTAATCTGTACCTAATCTAATTTCACTCATGTACAACAGTCAATTCTGAGACAGTATTGGAGATAAAAGTTTACTATGATCACTTTCATAGTTTTTGCCTCTGTTCTTTAACTTGGCCTTCCCAATATTTGCAGTCTCCTATTACAAGACGACTCTCCTGGTTTTGATTACCTTCTGATAAGGATTATATCACTTTTATGAAGTCATTCTTATAGACTTTCAATCTCTTTCCCACTCTCTCATCTTAAAACTTGTATTTGTTTGATTTAAAAATGCTGTCACTCAAAGAGGAGTTGACTGAATGGCAAAAATAATACACACACATGCATTTATGATATGATATGGAGCATATGAAATGGATTGTGAAAGTGGGGGAAGAATAAACTTTATTGGCCCACAGAAGGGACGAGGGAATGAGAAGGGGCTAGAGATAAGAATGAATAAAAGTGGAAAAACTAAAGCAAAATGGTTTAAAATGTGCAAATACACTTTGCAACCTCCACCATTCAATTTGGGGATTGATATGTATGTACAGTGAGATCCATGTAGGCTAAAGTGAGTTTCACTTTGTAGTTGATGCTACTTGTACCAGTTCTATCATGAGTAAGTCACCGTTTAATTCTGCCAAAGTCAGATAAGGATCTTTCTGGTTAGTGCAAACAAGGTTTTCCATCCTGGGCTGCAGTCTGACCCACCAGTGCTCAGTAGGCATGCTTGTGATGAATTCGCACACTTTCCAGTTCCCCACCTCCAATGGCGGCCAGGGTCTCCAGCCTGTTTAAGCGCTCCAAGTTTCGTCCAAGAACTTCTTCTAGCCGACTGCGTAACACCTGAGCCCCTTCCAGTTCCACCTGCAGAGTTCGGTCTCTCTCAGAGCTGATTAAACATGCCACACGGAAGGAAAATGGATTAGCCATCAACTGTAGTGAGTCCATATTTGCTTCCAAAGAACCATCAGTGCCACTTTGAGCCACACGACTTTGTAAAGTAATTGTTCTCCAGGACACAATAAATGAATGTAGTCTGTGTGGCATTTGTGTTCACTGCTGATAGATTACTAAAGACTGCTCCCTTTTTTAAAAGCTTGCCCCTTATGCTAGATTCTGGGCCAATTTCACATAAAATTATAGCCCCTAAGACTTATCTCACACCCTTATAGCCCAAAAAAGAGAAATTTCATTATTTGACTAAAAGCTTTTTTTTCTGAAAAACTAAAACCCAGGACAAACTAAATGTAAACTGGAACAAGACTGAGCCAAGTAGAACCACTACTGAAGAGACTTGTTTTCTCATTTGTTACCAAACTTGAGGTGGGATGGTGTGCTGAAAAGGAATCTGGTTCATAAACACTAAAGCTCCAGTTACTTTTTAAGTTCTTTAAAAAGTAACACAATCAACTGGTCCTATCAGACCTTTCCTCTGCCTTCATTTTCCTGGTAGAAAGAAAACATTTTTAAAGCCCAACAATAAATTATAGGAAACTGAATAGCAATAATAATAATAATAATAACATAATAATAATTGAAAAAGAGTAAAAGGGGCTGGTAGGGAGGGCAGAATGAGAAAAAAAAATGAAGAGAATATAAAATGATCCAGTGAGGTATCATATATGTGACCAAAAATCAAGAGGTAGAAGAAAATATATTCATCATGATAGTTATCGGTGGTCCCAGGATGATTTAGCCATCCCAATTAATATATTTTAATTGATGATATTAAATGAATATCAGTGCCCATTACAACCTTACTTTTTGTTTTTTTCGAGATGGAGTCTCACTCTCTCACCCAGGATGGAGTGCAGTGGTGCGATCTCTGCTCACTGCAACCTCTGCCTCCCGGGTTCAAGTCATTCTCCTGCCTCAGCCTCCCGAGTAGCTGGGACTACAGCACGCACTACCTCACCAAGCTCATATTTGTATTTTTAGTAGAGACAGGGAATAGCCTTATGTTTATAATAGAACAGCCTTTAACAGGACATGGATCACAGAAAAGAAATGAACATACACTGAGTGCTTACTCTATGCAAGGCATTGTTTTAGATACCAAAGCTGTCTTCTTATTTAATCTCTGCAATAGCTGTGTGAAACAGACACTATTCCCAACTTGAGATTTTGACACTGAGGCTCAGAGCAATCCATAAAACAAATGACAAAGTGGGTAGCCCCAGTAATTGTCCCTGTTTTTTTCTCCCCTCTTCAGTATCATAAGCATCGGCACTTAATGAAGAATAAAAGGCATTAAAAGAATACAATAGTAAAAGAAATAAAGATTTCAATAAAGAATAAAAGGAAAAACAGCCACTCTCTTACCTCTCTGGATGGGCATGGAACTTCACCAGACTGCTATACAGCTGTCTCTCTGCTTATAAGGCCTCATTGAGCCGACTCCGTTCATCCACTAGTCCTTCTAGCATCAGCAGCAACTGGGGAAAGAAGAGAGAAGAAGCAACACGCAAATGGCACAGTGAGACATGAAGCCACAGTTAATCCTGAGAAACAAGAAAATGCATTAGCATGTACTAGGACTTAAAAAGCCCACTATCTTAGTACTTAAGCTTTTGATACCATTTTATAGTTTTCAAATCAATGTCATATTATTATTATTATTATTATTATTATCTTTAAAACCCTGTAAGGTGGAATTCAAACATGGGAGCAAAAAGAAGAAAAAGGAGAGAGAAGCTAGAAGCACAGGAAAGCAGCTAAGAGAAAGGAGTAAGAGGGAAACAGGACAGGCAAGAAGGATATGTATATAATAGGACTCACTAATATTCTTCATTCATTCAATAAATATTTACTGAGCAGCTTCTATGGGACAGACTCTGTTCTAGGTCCTAGGGGAAAGCTTACTATCTAGTGGAGGAAAAAGACATTCATTAATCATAGATGTGTGTCACTGTGCATGTAATAAGTGCCATAAAGATAATGAGCTATGATAATGTATAACCAACAGAGTTGTTTAAGGTAGAGTTAAAAGCCAGAATGGAGTGGGGTGAGTAGTTAGTGAGAGGGATGATAATGGAGACAGGGAGTACAGGCAAGTAAGTCTTTTGGAAAAGTTTGGCATTGAAGAATGGTAAAACGAGGCTGCAGCTACAAAGAAATGTGGGGAAAAGGCATGGGTTTCTTTCTCTCTCTCTCTTTTTTTTAACTGGGAGAGACTTGAACATGGTTAAACGCAGATAAAAGAGAAAGATTCAGTTGAGAGGGAGGCGACTTATGTATGAGTGTGAGGGATAACTATTGGTATGTGTCCAAAAGAACTGCTGCTCTTTTCAGAACTACAAATGTCAGAAAGGGGCATCTATAGCTGCTACTGACCAAAGTAGGAAACTTTAGAGCACAGTTTGCCTATGAAATACCATCAACTAACACTCCACAAATAGCTGAGATTGACAGCTTTACCATGGTTTATTTCACAGTAGAAAAAGAAAGTTTGAGCTGGGCGTGGTGGTGTGCACCTGCAGCTCCAGCTACTCAGGAGGCAGAGGCAGGAAGATTCCTTGAGCCCCAGAGTTTGAGGCTGCAGTGAGCAGTGATCGTACCACTGCACTCAAGCCTGAGTGACACAGTGAGACCCTGTCTCATGTGGTGACTCATGCCTATATGTAATTCCAGCACTTTGAGGAGCTGAGGAGGATGGACCACTTGCGGTGAGGAGTTTAAGACCAGCCTGACCAGCATGGTGAAACTCCGTCTCTTGTGCCTGTCTATCATTTTACCTCCATCATCACATTATCGGTACCATACTATAGACTAATAATGTTTTGTTCTATTAGTTGTATCTCCCCAGGTAGAATTAGCGATTAACGAGCCAAACCTTACCCGACGTGATTACCATTCCACTACCCTCCATCCTCAGGCAACTAGCCCACCCCCCAAGCTTAGACGCAAGTTCCCCCATATACTCCGGCCTAGCAGTCGAACATGTTGCCGCAATGAAGTGAAGTTCCCTTCACACTACAACTCGCTGATGACGACGTAACTACTCCTTTGATGCGAATCACGCTACACCTCAGCCGTGACTCGCTCCTTCTACTCCGACGCTTTCAAATTACAGAACCCAAGCGTGATATGAGTCGCCAGAAAACAGACAAATTAACCGGCAACTTGTCTCAGAGAATCACAGGACTGGCCTAGTAATCGTGTAAATTCCAGAAACGTAACTCAGGGAAGCCCACTCGACTCGAGAGCCACTAGGCGAGACATCATGTACTTTCTGTAGAATCACCCCAACAATATCCCAGCAACAGTCTTTATGGTCAAGGACACCAGTTAATTTAAAGAAACCTTTAAACGGAATTTAAGCAATAGTTAAAACTATCACCGCCTTCAAAATACCCATTCATACAGGCAATTCTCAATTTTCCATGATCCCTAA